GGATATTTTTCGGATATTTTTTGTGAGAATTCAGTTGAATATCAGAGTGCGTCATTAGAAAGACTACAAAATAGAATATTATTAAATAAACGAGAATGTCGGCTAAAAAACTCCAAGAGGCTACAAACAATATTTATAGAGAACTAAACCTAAGAAACTCTAACTCCGATAGGCTAGGCCCAATTCCTAAACTAACAAGGAAAACTCAAATACTAAAATAAACATGAATACTAATATTTTCCAACACCCCCTGTCAAACTTATGACGGTAAACGACATGATTTTGCCAACAAGCAGATGCGGATGCAAACTCCATTATGCTAATTTCCAATGCCAATTCCAATATGAAATTCCATCAGTGCAAGTGCAAGTTTCCAATGCCAGTGCCAATACAAGTTTCCAATGTCAGTGCCAATACAAGATTCCATGCCAGTGCTAGTGCAAGATTCCATGCTAGTGCCAGTTCAAGATTCCAATGCTAGTGTCAATGTAAGATTCCAATGCCAGTGCCAGTTGCGAGCTTCCAAACAAAAGACAAATCCAATTCACCACGTTCACAACATCAATTAAGTGGCCACCAATTCAAGCACTCCAAGCACTCGAATAACCGTTACGGTCAACAACAACAAACAAGTCAAACATCATCAACAAACTCATTGTGGGCCTCCAAACCAGGCGCAACAGCAGCTTCAAACAACCAAGCTTTTCATGCCCGTGTGGGCCTAAAACCTCAACTTTTCAATTTTTTTTTTCTTTTCCTCTTTTTCTCGTATTTTTTCTTCTATCTTTCTCTGTGCGAATTGAATCTTCAGATGAACAGTACGGGAAAGAATAGAATCAACAGATGGAAGTGGAGTCCGATGTAGGATAGAGCTACAAAGAGTCTCAAACTTATCTCGAAGAGGCATCAGAAACTAAACGAGACGTTGTTCTTCTCTATATTGAAGATAAAGCCTCACAATACCAAGTCCTTTAGGTTCAGTCAATGCAAGTTGGTCCCAGAGACTGGTCATTTCGTTATAAAAATTTTGAATACTCTTATCACCTTGCTGGATTGCACAAACCTCCATTTCTAATTGATATTGCTTAGCAAAATTGGCCTTGGTATACAACTTTTCTAAGTGATCCCAAACTTCCTTGGATGTAGAGAACTTAGCAAGTTGTATTCCAATAGCCATATCAACAGAGTTATTAATCCAAGTAATAATCTTTGAATTATTCATCTCCCAAGGAGCAAGCAAGTCTTCATGTTTTTCATCTTTAGGGTTATTTGGAATGGAAACTTTTCCAGACACATAGCCCCATAATCTTTTTCCAATTACAAAGTTCTTCATCACATACGCCCAATACACATAATTATTTCCATTTAATTTCACACCAATAGCTTGCAAGGAATCATCTTTTAAAGATGACATATTCACAATGACAGTCGTAACAAGGAGATACCTGATGTGTTGGTTGTGCAGACTGGTACGATTTCAAATCTGGTGAAGGAGGTTAATCAGGTAGTAGCAGCAATAAGTCGACAATTGGTTCAGACGGGCAGTTTCAAGAAGAACAGTGAACATAACGGAGACGGCAAGGAAGACCAAATGGGTCGTCAAGGTAGTGTGATCAGCGACCTGGGCTTCGTCAGAGAACAGACAGCGGTGCAGTGCAGTGATGTTCCGATGGTGGTGGTGCGAACTTCCGAACAGCGTGATGCGGGTGGTAATCTGATATTGGGCAAACGGGATCACTGATCTGACTTTCTAGAATCAGGTAGGTACATGTTCAGGCTAAGCACAATGGTTCAGAGATAGGTCCAACAACCTTGCTCTTGATACCAAGATGAACAGTACGGGAAAGAAACATATTATTAAACAGCTTGATACAACCTAATTCAAAGCACTGTTTAAATAGTAAAACCTCAAGCAAACCCTAATAAACAAAATAACGAAAATACCCTAACAAAGAAAATACCCAAAACAATAACTCAAATAAAAACCTAAAATTCCAACATCTTCCTCATACCAATAATAAATAAATAAAAAATCACGAAGGAATAGATGTGTTGCGGGTAGAGGTCAAAGTGCAGTTGCGGTGCGGCAATGGGTGCAGACGGTTCAGTTTTTCTTTCTACTTTTTTTTTTTTAAGACTACCGCAATTTGACAGTCAATACGGAAATCCAAAGACAAAGAACATAAACAAAAATCCAAAGACAAAACGAACAAAAACAGAGTGACCAAGAACAAAGGATATAGACCAAAGCGGAATCGAAAGCCTAAACGAGACCAAAACTAAACCAAAAAACAAAAAGCGACAAAACAAATTGATACCATACAAGAGTGGATTGAACCCGTTCTGATACCAAGTTAAATATTAGAGTGCGTCATGAATAAAACTATAAATAGAATATTATTAAACAAACGAGAATGCCGAAACGGCTACAAAACTCCAAGAGACTACATTATAAATGACTTATTTCTCAAACTAAATTACAACCAATATTTATATAGAACTAAACCTAAGAAACCCTATCTTGGATGGGCTAGGACCAATTCCTAAATTAACAAGGAAAACTCAAATACTAAAATAAACATAAATACTAATATTTTCCAACAGATTCTAAGAATTCGTAAATCGTATTCATTCATCATACATTGTGCAGTCAATTTTTGTCAGGTGCTGTTTGTACTTAATTTTAAATAAAAATATTTAAAATAATTTTTTACCGTATGGTATGATGAACGAATATGATTCACAGATCATCACAAAAAGATGCGGCGAGGATCCGGATTCTAGAAAAATAATGTATTACGACAGTAAACACATGATTAGTTGTTAATTGGCATCAACCACTGTATCCAGTAATCTTTTTGTTCCTTTTGCAGTACTCGCGAGTGTCAGCTAGCCTGTCAAATATCCCCCAGCACAAGAAGTTTGCTCGTCAACAATGGCGGACGAGGTTGTAGTTGTGAGCTTCTGGACCAGCATGTATGGGTTTAATACTGCTTCGGAATGCCACTCTTCTTTTGTTATAAGAACACGTGGGTACTGGTTATAACATATGGTCGTATTCTGGTATTGCACAATAATATTTCGAGCACATGATGTTAAAGGGAAAATTGGAGATTCAAATGTCTTCCCAAATCGAAGGAATTCTAGACTTAATGAAAACAAAATGATAATTTAAGTAACTCAAATTCTTTGCTATAACAAGTTGACAACAATGTGACAATTGAACAACAAAAGCAAACTACAAAGATAAGAACATATTAACAACAGAAGCACATCACAAAGGGCCGCATACTGTCGGAATGACATTGATGATCACCTGCACATGCCCATGCATATGCTTCCACAAAAAGATATTATAACTGGCTGTGGCTAATTTCATATGGATTATTGATTTAGAAGAATTATATGTTACAACATTAGTAGACATTATTAGTTGTTAATTAACATAAACCAATGTATCATATAACTGGCCAAAATCCCAAAACGAAATTGTGAGCCTGAACTGAAAGGCTGAAACCAAGTGTCAAACATGCCACAGCACACACTGACACACCCATCACAATATAACGGCCTCAATAGTCAGTAGTACCTCACGCTATTCTTGCTCTAAGTCTTTGATTTTTGCAAGAAGAACATTCAGCTGCAAGAAGCTTGTGCATCGACAATGGCGGGCGAGGTTGTAGTTTTGGGATTCTGGACCAGCATGTTTGGGGTGAGGGCCAGAATAGCCCTGGAAGAGAAGGTGTAAGTATGTGTACAAAGAAGAGGACTTGGGAACAAGAGCCCTCTCCTTCTGCAGATGAATCCAGTTCACAAGAAGACCCCGGCTCTCATCCACAATGGCAAACCGGTCTGTGAGTCACTCATCATTGTGCAGTAATTGATGAGGTTTGGAAGGATCAAGCTGCTCCTTTCCTTCCCCTTGATCCTTACGACTGTGCTCGGGCCAGGTTCTGGGCTGACTTGATTGATAAGAAGGTCTAAGCTGTTTTGTCTAAATTTGCTGTTTTTCCCTTCGAGAATGGTTAATAGCACTCTAAAATAGCAACCATGTATTCCTCTCGTTATATTTATTTTCACAACAAAAAAGTGCACGATGATTTTTTTAGAATGCTGATTTAAGTATATATATATTAATTGCAGTTCATTTTTTAAAATTTGTATCCGACTTTTCATCGCATCGAATGATGTCAAAACATTGTTTCCAAAAATTGTAGTTTCATGTTGCTGGGAGGAAGCTATGGAGCACAAAGGAGAAGAACATGAGGCAGCAAAGAAGGAATTTATTGAAATCCTGAAGCAGTTGGAAGGAGAGCTCGGAGACAAGCCTTACTTTGGGGGTGAGAGATTCGGCTTCTTGGACATTGCCCTTATCGGATTCTACAACTACTTTTATGTATTTTAGAGCCGTGGAAACTTGAGCATGGAGGCAGAGTGCCCTAAGATTATTGCATGGGCCAACAGGTGCTTGCTGAGGGAGAGCGTGTCAAAATCTGTTGCTGACCCCAAAAAAGTGTGTGAGTTATTACTTCGTTTTTTAGCGTAGTAGAATAGGCTAGCTGCTAGCAGTGGCGGAACCAGCTGGTGCATGAAAGAGGTTGGGGTCTAGGCCAAATTGTAGGCGGAAAATGAGAATAGTAAATAAAATTAGGCCAGGCGGCTACGTTCCAGCTTGCCTTCTACATGATTCCGCCCCTAGCTGCTTGCACAGTATCACCATGTTTGAAAGTCCTTCGATGAATTCTAGTATGTGTTCTTCTAGTTTTTTTAATTCCAGCTTGTTTTTCTGTTGAGATGTTCAGGTAAGATCTTTAGGTGTTTCTGCTGCAAATGAGCTTGTATGCCTGAGGAAAAGTAACTCAAAGTTTGGATAAGGAGAAAATTCGCCCTATAGTCGATTGCGTACAACCATGAGCGTTATTCATGGCGAGATAGACTCATGGTTGCATGCAACCGGTGGCACCAAAAAGTCCATGCTTTGATATGAAGACTTGATCACATAATAAGAAATTTGATCGAGTAGATTTAGATTCCTTACTATAACAAGCTGACAACAGAATGATAGTTTGACTACAGAAGCAAAATAAACATATGAACAGAAGCACAATAAAGTGCCTAAATACAGTAAAGGCTTGGTCAAGTGCCCTTTTATTCTAATTCAAAACAACCCAAAACAGGTTGAATCTTGAAATTACATTGATCATCACTAGCTTCTTCCCATGATTCCTCCAAAATCTACTCCATTCCAAGCTTTTTCCTCATAAGCATGACGAAATCGTAGACCTTTTCCTGTTCGGGGAGCGATTTGGACACGCTCTCCTTCTCCATGCACCTCTTAACCCAGGCAATAAACTTTGGGTGCAACGCCTCAACACTGAAGTTGCCAAATTTCTCATACAAAAGAAACCAGCTATAGAATGGAATAAGCGCCACGTCCATGAATCCAATGGTCTCGCCCCCAAAGAAAGGCTTGTCTCCGAGCTCTCCTTCTAACACGCCCATGCAGTCAAGGAATTCCTTCTTTGCTGCGTCCTGTTCTTCTCCTTTCGTTGTCCAAAGCTTCCTCCCAAACTCATATATCTGCATTTCACATCCCAAAATTGCAGAAAGATTAATATACATTATTTTGAGCAAGTTCAGATCCTCTGCTTATATTTTTCTAATATATACATCACAAACCCTAAACTGCAAACCCGAACTGTAACAAGAAATCTTAATCGAAACCTATGTAGTAAAATCATTATTACCCTAAACACTTACAATCTTAAAATTTTAAAACATTGTTTTATTTACCAGCTCAAATATCCGTAAGCATTTAACTTAAAACCAATTGGCAACGCTTGCGATTTTAAGCAGTTAAGCTAGATACTCGCAACAATTTAAACATAAAAAAAATATAACCGTATAATATATTTCCCATGTTTTCAATTGTTTCAAACCAAACCTATTCAAAACAAATAAAACAAGACTACAAATAAGTAAATTAGTGAGTAAAACTCACCTTCTTGTCGACGTAGTCAGCCCAGAACCTGGCCTGGGCTCTGAGGTAACAGTCAGAGGGCAAGAGTGGAGCCTTATCATTCCAAACCTCATCAATGTACTGAAGCGCAATGAGGGACTCGCAGACTGGCTTTCCATTGTGAATGAGAACCGGGATCTTCTTGTGAACCGGGTTCATCTGCAGCAACAGCGGGCTCTTGTTCCTCACGTCCTCATCTTTGTACTCATACTCAACGCCCTTCTCAGCCAGAGCAATCCTCAGCCTCATCCCAAATGGGCTAGGCCAGAAATCCAACAAAACTACCTCATCCGCCATTGAAGGTTGAAATCTGAACTCTTTGATACAAAATTGCAAAATGGTTGCAGACAAAAGTTGTGGGAGTGGTGGTGGTGGTGGTAGTGGTGGGGGTGTGCGTGTGCGTGTGTATTTGTAGACAAAAGTTGAATGAAAAGACTAAAGAGGCAGTAGTCAATGGACTGCAGGATTCTTGGAGATATTCTATTTTTCTTCCTTATTGTACACATTAGGGAATAATTGGATCTGATTATGTCACTGCTTTCGACATAAAAAATCTTGATATCCTTCTATATTCTTCCTTCCTTTAATTGTGGAGAAGAAATTTTTGTAACAGCAACGAGATTTGTCGTGTAAGTGGATGAGAGCATCTATTCGAGTCTCTGAAATATTGCTCGAAAAAAGGTGTAACAAAAAATAAAGGGTAAATTACACTAAAATATCTCAATTATAGCTCGAATCATAATTTCATACCTCATGTTTTAAAAACTACAATATCATACCTTATCTTATGAATTTGTTACAATGTTACAACTCTGTCAGTTTATCTGTTAATTTCTCTGTTGGCTTGAAGCGGAGCCCACTCCTTCAAACAACTGAATAGATATATTAATAAATTAAAGATTTATATAAAAAAAATGCGACCCACCCCTACAAGTGCATCACCCTCACCGTTCTTCCCCAGTTCATCTCCCTCCCCCAACCCCCTTCCTTCACCATCACAACCGACTCCCCACCGCTGCCAATGTCCAAGACTAGGCTCACCACCACCACCACCCCACCCGCCTATTTTCCATTTAAGGAACCCACGTGGGTGGCCTGGATTGGCACCCTCTCTTCTTGGACCAATCCCACAGACCCTTGTGTCTGCCGTGATCGGATCTTTGCCTCGACCCATTTCCTGGGCGAGCTTCCCAGGTGAGTTTACCACGAACTTCGGCAACAAGCACCGACGCCGCCACCACCATTTCGCTGTTCTCGATGCCACAAACAGGGCCCACCCAGAGTTCACGCTGTTTGGTCGCCGTTCAAATCGAACCGTGAATCTCAGGACCAAGCAAATCAGGTAGTTGCCACCAGCGTTGACAATCGAATCGAGAGGATTACGAATCACGGTTCGGCATAGCAGATGGGTGACGATGAAATCACTGGAGGAATGAAGTGGTTCATGACAGGATTTTTAGAACCTACGCAAATAAGGTTAAAATGACACGAAATACTTGCAAGAATACAAGGATGTTTTAGTAAAGATGCTCATGCAAGGTCGTTCTCTCAAGGACTATTTTAATAATTTATGTAAGAGTAATGTTATTCCCATCCCATTATCTTATCTTTTCACCCATCTTTTATTAAATTTTTTAATTACAAATTTGTTTATTTGTAAAATGACTGATAAGGACATAATTATCCTCTTTTGCATTAAAAAAAAAAAGTTGGGTTGCACACTCAATTTATCTTAAACCCTAACTCATCTTTCCATCTCTTTTCATCTAGAGGAAGAAAAAAAAAGGATTTAGATGACTTTTTCGTTGAAGAAGTAGAAGATGACACTTCTATGGAAGAGTTAGAAGATTATGTTTCTATTGAAGAGGTAAAAGAATAATTTTGTATGTGGGTCATTTGCATTTGCCGTCGAAGTTTTCCTTTTGAATTTGGATACCTCTGTGTTTTCCAATTGAATTTGCATACTTGTGACTTCAAGATCAGCAAAAAGGATTTGGGCAACATATCCTTAATTTTATTGCTTATTTGAATTTGGCCAACGTATGTTGAGAAACACAAAACTCACCTGCGAAAATCTTTAAGCAAATCAAACAATCCTTTCCTTTTTTTGTTGTTTCATTGTCGTGTGCATTTTAGAATGCTTGGAATAAATCAACAGCACCCTGGCACGAGAGCCAGTTGAAATAACACGTCTGTGATGCATTATGAAAATTATATGTTGTTTTATAATTTCATATGTATGCATATGTTAAAGGTTATTTTGAAAATAATAGTGGGTGGGGAAATAACATTTTAATTTTTTAACTTTTTAAGGAGGGTGGGATTATAACGTGGGTGGAAAAATAAGACAATGTGGTGGGTCTAGTAGCTCTCTTTATGTAAAAACAATTCCTAATTAACTACTTATAATTAAAAATTGAGAAAAGGGATTTTAGAATTGGATAATATTAAAAATGAATTTTAATTAAAAATAATTATGATAAAAGAAAAGAGTTTTAAATACTAATTTAGAAAAGCACTAGGGTTTCATCATCACCTAGCAATCCTATGAATTTTTACCAATTACTTATGATCTACACATGCCACATTGAAGGTTAGGTTTTCCTAATATATATTCTACTTGGAACCTCCAACATAGAACGTATATCTAACATGTAATCCGTCCGGACGTTTGGATCAAATCTGAACATGAAAGACTCATTATGCTTTATGAAAACCCTTTGAAACACCATGCAACCCTTAAGACGTGGTGTTCATCTTAAGTGAAATTACAATTATTAATCACAATTCACAAGAAGCTAGCATCAATTTCAGGGAACCTTCCGACTAAAATTGCATCAAATTACTTTTCTAAAGATCCTAATGTTGGCCAAGTATTAAGACAATTAGATAGTTTAAAATAGTGATTAATAATTCAAAATATCAATCATAAGCAATTAAATAAAAATTACATATTCATGCTAAGGTTCAAGGCTTTGCCCTAGCAAAACGGTAGTTACGCACAATCATAATTAAAATCATAGAAAATATTATTATAAAGAAATTGATTGAATACACTTTAAAGAAGAAAATCCTCAAGAACCCAACCCTAGCAATTCTCTGTCTCCAAGATTGCATAAAAGAGAATGTAGCACCCCAAACTAAGGCCGGCCAAACCTTTTTAAAACCCATCTAAAAGGCATCGCACAATCCCTAAAAACCATGTCCTTTATTCCAACTAGGAAACTAAGAATAATAATAAAATATCTTAGAAAATAAAGTCTTAAATAAGCTAAGAAAATCTGCCAAGTATTTGTCCAACCACGTTTTAGCCTCAAACACCCTCCAAAACTGGCCCATAATAACTTGTTTTGAAGATCGGGACGTTCTGAACACATCTCCAGAAGGCCACGAACCAATCCGAGGTCAACTTGAACTCCAGAAACATAATTCAAGCCCAAAACGTCACTATTTCAGCATCGCACATTGCTCTTTTATTCTATCGCCAGAAAATAACCGCATGGTAAAAAAATTTGATATTTTGATACAATCAAGCCAAATGACTCACGAACGTCCTCCAGCTGGAATTACTCCAAAATTCGTCCATTTGATCCTGTTTTACCTCAAAAGAAGTCAAAAATCCTATATTGAAAACACAATTCAAAATTTCAAAATTCTTCTAAAATATAGAATATGATTAAATATATAATATAAAATCTATTCATCACTTCAGTAATAGGATACTCCGCCGCCGGCTGATAACGCGAACACGGGATATTGATATTGTCGTCGCGTGTCCACGACGACGTTGTTTTCACCAGATGGGGATCGACGGTTTGATTGCCTCAATCTTCTCCCTGTTAGCTAGCCACGGTCTCTCCGTCGACATCGGAAAATAACAGTGTCTCATCCCTGCAACCAAAACTGGGCAGCAGCTCAACCACAAGAAGAAAGGGGCCCACACAATGAACCCGAAACTTGCTTGAGAAGAAGTGGCGACTGGGCAAAGCAGCAGCTGCGCTGCGGGAGGAGGAAGAAGGAAAAAACAAAACCCTGGGCCAACTGTGTCGCTTGCTCCGACGCTCTCCAACCTTTTTTTTATTATTAAATTCAAACATAACAATTTTTTATTAATTTCTTGCCACGTGGCTCAAACATGATATCCATATCAGCAAAATGTGGGGTTTGAATGTGCCACGTCAGCTAACAGAAAAATTAACAGAAAAGTTGACGGAGGTATTACATTGAATTCTTAAGTTGATACATGACATTGTAATGTTTAAAATATAAAGTATGAGATTGATATGCGACACAAAATTGAGGTAGTAAAATGTAATTTACCTAATAATAAAACAAAAAAAAACAACTTACTAGTGGATACTCACAGGGCCCTTCAATCGACTTCGATACATGCAATGAGTTGGACCCATAGATTCCAGGAGGCCTATATATTGGGTCGGGCTAGGTTGACACCTGCATGGAAGTATTGGCCCAAGTCCTATTAGACCGTAAACCTTTGGGCCGTAAGAGTTAAATGGGTAGGGTAGATTGTCCAGTTTAGCCCATTTTTGGTCCCCAATTCCTCTTTTTTATTGAACTAAAAAAATTAAAGAAAATAACTAGAAAGCGGGATCCTAAAAATGCCTTTCAACAAACTTTTATACGTGTGATAAGTTTGATCCATAGTTTACTTTTAAGGAAAATTAATGGAAGAGTTTGAAAACTTTGACTTTTAATTAAAATGACAATAAAGTATTATAAGTGAATGGTACTAGGAGTAACTTTTTAAAATAAAATTGTTTTTTTTCGTTAAAATAAACAGTACCGAGAGTTTCATTAAAACTCTCTTACTTTTAAGCGCAATGAGATTGATTCAAGACAAATATAATACTTTATAAATTTCAAACTCCTATACACCGCTACTTGTCTTACATAATATGCGTTTTGCTTATAACAATCTGAACTGTTGTTTTCAATAAATTATAAAACTCGTTATGCTAATTTTAAAGTTATTTGCAATATTGTACCCTTTCTTGCTTTATGTGTGTCATCTTTGCAATGGACGGAGTCTATCTCCTAAAAATCTATCTTGATACGAGCACATAAATTTTATAATTTGTAAACCCTAGGTAATATAAAAAGATGAGAAGCCTAGGCATGAATGCTTTATCTAAATTCTCAACATCTGAAGCTCTTTGTGAGAAGAAAGGGAGCATTTTTTTTCTCACTGCCATAACTATGGTGTGTGCTTATCATACTTAACAATCTGTCACGTATTATTTTACTTCATTCTAATTAACTTTCATATTAAATACTATTTTTTAAATTTAAAAAAAAATTAATCAAATTAAGAAAAATAATACATAACAGATGATTAGATAGTATAATAAGCATACAACATAATTGTAACGAGCAAAAATGCT